CACTATCAGAAACGCCGCTATCAGAAACAATGAGCGATGTGTTTTGTAAGTAATATGGTCTGTGTTTACATTAGCAAGCATCGCTAACACTCAGAGCTAACCTGTACTGGAGAGAGTATGTGCAAAAAACCAGGAAATAAAAAAAGGAACTCACCTTTTGGTAAACCCACGAGAGAAAAAGCATTTGAGCTCCATACTGTTTCAGAAATAATGCTTGAAGTGGTTTTAAACATATTATGCCGTTTAATCACGGCAGCATTTAGCTGAGTATCTGCCGGTAGAATTATCCCGCATGAGCAGGCATAAGCTCCCTCTCACTTTTTTTTCATTTTCACATTTTTTTTTTTTTAAGCTTTAGACCCATAATCAGCACTTCTCTAACAGGGCTGAAATAGAGGGGTATGAGGCATGGCTACAATGGGTGATCTGTTTGGTATTTTGAGCAAAAAACTTCATAGACATGTTTTTTATATATCTGAGACCTAAAAATAGTAGACCTACAGTAGGAGACCTTTAAGGAGGAAGTGCAGCAGTAATAATAGGAAACCCACACGGGGTCTAGACACTGGTGGTGATGCTGAAGATCTGGATTTGATCAGGAGATGGGATGAAGAGGATCCTGAAGATCTGGATTTGATGAGGTGTGGTCTAATGATGAGCTCTCCTGGCACTGGATATGATGACAGGAGGTGGATGGGAGGGAGGCGGGTCGCAGCATGAACACCTGAAATCACAGCTGACTGCAGGAGAGAGGAGAACAATTAAAAAGTTTGACTGCAGCGCGATAGTCGGATGCTAGGGAGATTGAAGGGAAATGTAATTGGTTTAAAAGATGACGCCCATGGTGAGCTGATTGCAGCTGCGGAGTGAATGAATGTTTACTCAATCTTCCTGAAATAAATTACGCTGAGCTTCAAGACCGACAAGAGTGAGTTTGATCGGATAAACGGTTGAGACACTTGAAGGACAGACATCCATCCAAACAGAGACCCTTTCCTTTAGTTAGATTGTGGTAACCCTCTGTCTGGAGTTGAAAGCGATATGAAAAAATGGAGGGAAAGCAACATAAGTTTGATTAATTTATATGTTTATTTTATTTCCATATCCACCTGTTTATTGTAAAGACCCAGTGTGAAACCAGGAAGCTGATAGTGGAATTGAACAAGATGGATAAAATAGAATCTAAACATATAGAAAGTGCTGTAGTGTGATTTAAATGGCTGCCTGCGGGGTGAAAGAAAAACATATTTTTTCATCAATCCCAGAGGGAGAATTCAATGTATTCTTCACTCTGTATATATTTACATTACACACTTGAACAGATTCACAAGCGGAGAAGTGTCACAGGCTGCCACAAATTGTTCTTTTGAAAACCAGTTTGAGCAAATGTTGAGAAGTATATCAATCATCACAAATCACCTCAATCCTGACAACCAAGCCTATTGCTCAAAATGTACATACATATTAAGTTGAACCTATTTAAACCTTATATTATTGCTCCCAACTAACATAATACAGTTATGTGAGGTTTGTTGACATAATATATTTAATTGAAGTCAACGTGTTAGTAACTTTCCACCTCTGGTTTTGAGGATATGACTTTAGCTTGGTGCTAACTGTTAAGTCAGTAAGTGTGTTCACTCTGCTTCACAGTTGGGTGTACTGTAAGCACCAGCAGTCTCTTTAACACTTACTCTTTCATTTTCCTCTGACATTTAGACACAAATGTCAGATATTACAATTATAAGGCAATCACTTTGTACAGTATGTGACATGGCATCCTGAGGAGTACTTGTACTTGTACAGCTTATATTACACGGACAGTGAAATGCTGACAGCTGCTACATTTATAGATGGCAACGCCTGTAACCAGAACAATGAGTGTGAGACTCCTGGTGTGAGACTGAGTGTGGATCGAGCTGTACAGGAGAGTGTGTATGCATCCGTGCTTTACTTTGACTTTCAGACAGAAGAAAGAAGGGGCAGGCCAGTGGTGGAATGTAATAAAGGACATTCACTCAAGTACCGTGCTTGAGATACTTGTACTTCAGTTGAGTATTTATATTTTATCCACAACTATTATGGAAGCCAGTGTTGTACTTTTTACTCCACTATCTGACAGTTTAAGTTACTTTACAGATTCTGATTATAAGCTAATACAAAATATAGTTAACAATTCTTAAAAGTAAACTATGATATACTAGGTTAACATATCCAGCAGCAGTGAATACTTTTATACTAATTACAATCCAGTTATTAAATAAATATGATTCTGAAAGGGGCTTATGAAAGGAAATATATAAATCAAGTGAGTAGTCGTGCCATTCTTTCATAGACTTCTATACAATCGGGCTCCTTTTTAGGTGACGTGTGGAATTGCCACTGGGATTACACCTATTATATATTATGTATTGAGCAATCATGATGTGTGTTATCCTGTTAAGCATGATTTAGAAAAAATGCCTGCAAGGGTCATGAAGTCCCCAAACCTGTACCTTATCTTCAAAGAGACCACATATATTTCCTCCATTGATTGTCCAATGATCGTGATACATTTTCCTGTCTCATCTCCTCTGGTAGGTTAGTCAGGGCTATTCCTAACAAATATAAGCGGTTAAAAATGATCTTAGTGGTTCCTTCATTGCTCATAATTGAGTTAATAAACTGGGGACAATGATTCAAATGTGGCTAAATAGGAAATTGGGGGATAAATGAGATAGAGAGAAAGTGAAAAAGAGTGGGAGAAAGAATGACATGCATGGAGGAACAAGGGTAGTTAGAGTCGCCGTCGCTTTTCAAGGACACGTCAGCCCTCTGTGGTATTAATGAAATGAGCAGCGGTCCTGATAATAGAGCAGTCTTATGAGTCTGGGGGGGGGCTGTGAGTAATGTCACACTGCATCTATGAACTACGTGTCTGAGGTCATGGTAACAATAAAGTTCCATTTAAGCTTGACTCCTATCAAACTGTTCCTCAGTATAAGAAAGGCAGCAGGAGATGGGAAATGAGGAGCTGCAACTCTATTAGATTAGATTTGTAATCTCGGCTCCTTTATGACATGTTAGAGAAAAACTTCATGTAGTTCAGTCAGCTGATCAGTCTGCATGTTTGACTTTTTGAGTTCTAAACAGTTTGTAAAGTAACTCAAGTACTGTTCTTAAGTACAATTAGGTGCTTGTACTTTACAGTAAATGAGTATCTCCACGTGATGCTACTGTGTACTTCTTCTATCCCACTACAATTCAGAGGTAAATGGTATACTTTTACTCCACTACATGTATTTAATAGGGAGGCTGTGGCTCAGTGGTGAGTGTGCTGGACTGCTGTCCCACTGCAGTCAGCATGTCGTTGTGTCCCTGGGCAAGACACTTCACCCCAAATTGCTCCTGTGGGGATTGTCCACAGTACTGAATGCATGTAAGTCGCTTTGGATAAAAGCGTCTAACAAATGACATGTAATGTAATGTAATGTAATCCCTTTAGTTACTTCACAGATGTGGATGAATGATGTGAAATATAATCAAGTGTTAAATCAGACTTTAGTTCCACCTGGAGTAAATCCACAAGCTACCCTGCAGTATACAAAGTCATTCAAACTAGCTGCACCTTTACCAGCTTTGAGAACACTTTCATGATCAATCATTATAAAACATATCATATATATTATTCTGAAATGGACCAATCTGCACAATGACTACTTTTACTTCTGGTACTTTAACTATATTTTGATGATAATACTTTTATACTTGAGTAACATTTTGAATGCAGGACTTTTACTTGTAACAGAGTATTCCTACACTCTGATACTTCTACTTTTACTCAAGTACAAGATCTGAGTACTTCTTCAACCTCTGGTTATAGGTATAACAGGGACAGAGTAACTCTAAACCATCATGTCAAGTACCAAGAAAATGGATTTCAGAAAAAGTCTGAGACGGAAGCTTCTTTGTAAAATCTGAACCGAGCTCTAATTGGCAATCATTTTTGTTTCACCTTCCCTCCAGCCAATCATGATGCAGTCGTGGGCTGGTGGTCAGTGATCACTGTATTTCACCTGCAGGGTTTTGTGGGTAATAGAGGCCAGGAGTAGCTGCGGTGAGAAGACATATAGGGTGTGAGGCTTAATTCCTCTTATCAGGGGCAGCAGATGTGGTGAGTCGCTTTAAGGCCGTCTGATTCCAGGACTCAGAGAGGGAGTGGTACGCCAAAGCTTCAAAACTCTCCTGGATATCTGGAAGATTACATCTCACTCTCTGAACTCTACGGCCACTCAAATTGCTCCAACCAAATCTCTCTGCAGCCAGTCTGAGAGACAGAGCCGGGAATGCAAATGTTTGCTTATCTGCCCAAACAAATAACTGGAAGTGTTTTTCTCCATAGGTCAGAGGGTGTGCTTCAATGGAAAGGTTGACCGTGATTGAACTCTGCACATTCTGTTGCATTTAAAGTGTTCTGGCCTACAGTGTGGCTCATGCAGAGCGCTTCATTCCTTCACCATGAAGGGGGTAGGATTGGAAAGATTCAATGTGACCCGTGTTATTATGTACAGTAAGCAGCACCACTGTGTGCGTTTTGTACAACATGCAGTCAGTTATTTATTTATTTATTTTGGGCAATTCTATGCAAAACATATTTTTTATAGGATCTCAAACCATAATATGTTCACATAATTATTTAAATGCTGCTTCTCATTTTTAGCCTTGGATGAGTAGTAATTTGTCTTTATTTGTATTGTTGTATTACTAGTGTGTGCTTTTTCTCTATATTTAACATGTTAGCTACTTTTTTATTGCTCACCTTTTATCTGCTTTGTCACTTTAGCTGTAACAGTGTAAATATCCCCACTGTGGGACTGATAAAGGATTTCTGAAATACTGATCAGCTGGAAGGTCTTTGTTTTCATCATGAAAACACGTCAATATGTATTTCCTGTTCCCCCCTAACTCCATCTCTCTCTCTCTCTCTCTCTCTCTCTCTCTCTCTCTCTCTCTCTCTCCAGGACCTGGGGGGGGGGAGTCCTCCACAGAGGAACTGGAAAGGCATTGCCATCGCCTTGCTGGTCATCCTGGTGGTCTGCTCTCTCATCACCATGTCCGTCATCCTCCTCACCCCGGGTAACTCAGCTCTGATTGGCTCTGCGGTCTGATTGTCCTGTGATTCGCTCTAGTTAAAAAATCCCTGTTAACATGCAGGGTTTACATGTTTCTGTAGCTTCATCTTAGCCGTCCACAACTGTAAAAGGTTCTGTCATTCTTTCATTCAAGAATGTGTATGACATTAAGGCATGAAAGCTGTGTGTGGCTATATTTCCTACATTAACAATAGATGACTGCCCCACAGATCATTATCAACCACTTCTGCAGGTCTCACCTCCACCTTACTCTTTTGTTTTTTGGGGAAACAAATTATGTTTTTGCAAATTGCTGAGCTTGTTCTACTGCTATCAAGTGACCCAGAACATTTTTAAAGCAGAATCAAATGCTGTGCAATACAATTCAACAGGATTTTATATTGCTGTGAAAGATACATTTAAAATGTTTGCCCATTATCGATTTAGAGATGGAACAACAGATTTGTATACAACAATGTGTTCCTTGTGACAAGATTGGTGGACTATTAGAAAATGAAAACATTCACTCTAAAAAAAAATACACCGGCTCTACTTAAATAAATTGAGGTTAACAATTTGCGTTGATCTTTTTAAGTATTTCCAATTTAATCGATTATTAAATTAATCCGAGTACCCATTTATAATCTGATTAACTCAATTAGTTCAGTACTACAAACATAATTGCTTTCACCTTTAAAAACTAAATTAAGTTGAACCAACTTAATTTTAATCATAAAGATGGAGTGATATTAAGTTGCATTTAATTTAATTTAAGCTATTGTCATTTATTTATTTAAGTCCATACTACTCAAAAATGTCCATGCAAATTGTTACCTTCATTTGTTTGAGTATTAGAAACTCATTTCTTTGAGTCAAAAATAATATACACATTTAAGTTCCACTTTTTAACAGTTTATTTTAAAATGTTCTTTACACAATGACCTTTTTATAACAAATGTTCTCAAACATGAAATAAAAGTAAATACAAAATTGTAAAGGTCCCATGTCCCATGTCCGGTTCTTACCCGTCCCCTTGTGTGTTATGTAGCTTTTTCTGCATGTAAACGGTCTGCAAATCCGTCACAAACCCTCAAAGTACACCCTGTAGGGAGTAAAACTCTAACACAGAGAAGACCTGTCTATGCTGCCCCAGAACGCCTCGTTGGAGATTTCTCTTTTTCCATTGTTTACTTCCTGGTTACAGTGACGTGCCCATACCCAAATGGACCCATTGGTCCAAATGGACCAATCCGTGGACCTGTTACGTCCGTGGAGCCACACACACACACTCAATCTTTTCTCAGCTGCAGCTCCGCCGATTTCTCCTCCCTGAGACAGCAGGACGCGGCGAGGCTGTGAGTCGGTGTGTGAGCACACACACAAACTCCCAGCCAGGCTGCGGGTGTGTGTGTGTGTTCGGGATGGTTTCGGGCTGGGTTTCGCTCTGTCTCGCAGACGGCCACTGGGCTCATAGGGAGGGGGGGGCAGGAGCTCCAACAAGCCGTTTAGGACAGAGAGTGAATACACATACTATACAGAGATGCTGTATGAGAAACCACAATAGACATCTATTCTAGTAGACCTCAATAATGGAATTATGATCAGTAGAAATGGCCATGACATGGGACCTTTAAATAAAGGCATGAACCTGCTTCCAACGTTTTTAACATCTCTTTTGGGTAGCTTAGGTTGAGTGCGTATATTAGCCCCATCAGCATCGCACAGGCTCTTGTCGCATCCGAGATTTGAAGGACTTCTGTTCCTTCAATACGATTCTTGTATCCGCACTAGGGCTGTCAGTCGATTAAAATATTTAATCGCGATTAATCGCATGATTGTCCATAGTTAATCGCAATTAATCGCAAATTAATCGCACATTTTGTATCTGTTCTAAATGTACCTTAGAGGGATATTTTTCAAGTTTTTAATACTCTTATCAACATATGAGTGGACAAATATGCTTTATATGTTTGTTTATTATCATTTGAACAATGACAAATATCCTCATGAATATTAAACACAACAACCTCTGAACATTACAAATATTCGCCTCAATTCAACCTGGAACCTCTCATACAATAATACTGTGTGTGTGTGTGTGTGTGTGTGTGTGTGTGTGTGTGTGTGTGTGTGTGTGTGTGTGTGTGTGTGTGTGTGTGTGTGTGTGTGTGTGTGTGTGTGTGTGTGTGTGTGTGTGTGTGTGTGTGTGTGTGTGAGTGAATGTGGAGACACTGTGATGGATCGTTGGAGCTATGTGCAGCTCAAGGCATATATGCTCGAACGGGAGCTGCCTGGACGCTGCAATCATGTTGCGCGCACTATCCGTGCTGAGTGTGCTGACTTTTCGTACAATGTCCCACTGTCTGGCTACCTGCATAAAGTCAAGTGCTCGGCGCAGTTGTCGGCGAAATGTCGCTCCTCTGTTTTCATTGAAACAGCTCCTTATATCCGTTAGCGCAGCTAGCTAGCACCAGATGCTAACAACAACAACAACACGTAAGGTGTGCCTCGCTCGCACCACACATACACACACCCTCCCGGTCATCCCGATGGCCAGTCCGGGCCTGCCGGTGAGCGTGGAAGTGTGGTCTGCCACAAGCGGGCGGCAGGAGCGGGGCTGTCAGCATCAGCTTGTAGATGGTATTTTAAACTCGATGCGCTCTGAAACTACGGGGCGGCCGAGGACAAAAAATACACATGCGTTAATCGCGTTAAAATAATTAGTGGCGTTCATTTTTTTTTGCGTTATTAACGCGTTAACTTGACAGCCCTAATCCGCACCCCTGGTCAAGACAATCTTCAGCACCTCACTGCTAACTTCCACTTCATCATCCTGGAATAAGTAGATTAGAAAATACATTTCAGTGTTTTGGTGCAATCAGATTTGAAAACATTGCATTGTGTTTTAGTTTAACACAAGTTACAGTGAGCATCGTCTTTACTTACTTAAGTTTTCCCTGAAGAGATCCTCCTTTTCACGAAGACACACCACCAAGCACCGGATAGCAACCTCTTTTATTCTTTCCACCGAATCATCTTTAAAAGGAGAACATTTTAATGTTGAGAAACAATAACAAAGGCTTGGTTTGCACAAACTGAACATACCGGTCATTGTCAGTTGCTGTTCATATTTTTTTTAAATCAGTTTTTATCAAATGTAACGTTAATTCTAACAAGAAAAAATATATATATATATAAATATATACATACGGTATTACAAATAATGAACTTTGACTGCAACTGTGAAACAAAGGATACAGGAGGATACAAACAGCTAGCTATCAGTATGCTATGCATGCTACAGTAGCTCAAAACAAGTAGCTAATGACTACTTACAGCTTGTGTTACACTGTATATGCAGTAAGCAGCTGTGGCTACTTACCAGGTAACTTCATAGATTATTAGGTTAAAATCCTGTTGTTCCACTGCTAACAAGTGTTCCACTCTCAGGATGAACGCAGATTGCTCCAACTCCACATGCGGTCTAGCAGAGTCCAAGCCAGAGTCCTGCGTCTTGTACCCGACGGGTGACCCGCAAAAAGAGTGATTCGCGGGTGGTATTTTTTCAAACCCTTTTTTCCGGGTTTGGTTCTGGGTAAAACAAAGAAGATGCGGGTCGGGTCGCGGGTGTTGCATAATAAATATATTAAAATAATAATAATTTAGTTTAATCTTTAAATCCTCAGACCTCTCCCCCGCGGGACCGCGCATAATCATAACCTCTGCAGCGCATCAATCTGCTGCTGAGCGCGCCACATTCGAAATGGCTGAGGTGAAGCTCTCTAGCGGAGAATACAGCATTTTCAATAACACTTCCTCAAGAGCGAAATCCAACGTCTGGGAGGCTTTTGGTGTCATCCTAGATGGAGAAAATAACCAACATCCCACACTTTTTGAGACAAATATGCAACTGCGTGTGTTAATAATTGCACGTTTTCACTGCTCATATATATGCGGGTTCGGGTCGGGTTGCGGATCTTGTGCCGACGGGTCGGGTCGGGTCGGGTTGCGGAACTAATTGGCAATATGTGCGGGTAGCGGGGCGGGTTCGGTATTGCACGTCGCGGGTGCCGGGCGGGAGTGGGTCTTGAAAATCAGACCCGTGCAGGGTAGATATGAGTTACTCATATAGTATATCCCTATAGTTGAGTGAACGCAGAAATATTTTTTTCAAAATCATTACATTTGTATCTAACATTTTTCTTTTTCTTTTTTAGTTTGACAGACTTAGAGTCGTCATTAAAATGAGTTGTAAACTAACTAAAATAAGTTGAGGTAAAAAACAAAAATGTTATGTTTGAAAAAGTATTTATTTTTAAGTGGAATCTACTAACCCCATGAATCGTTTTTTTAGAGTGTTGAAACATTTCTACTTCACCCCTCCACTGATGATATCTCTCCGGTTTTAATGGAACAAGTCATTCGTTATACATAATAACGTAATTTAATCTAAACAATGGATCAAATGACTATGTGTGAGTAAAATAATCTGAGTAATTTTAATAAAAAAAGGATTATCCCTGTTACCTGACCAATACCAAATGGCTCACTAGTAAAGTAGCAACTAGAAGTGTAAAAAATGGATATATATATATCGCGTAGCCAGATCCCTTCTCCTAGTTTCAAGTCAAAGTCAGAAGTCAAAATATCTTAAATATATGTGATTTGTTTAGTTCTGCTAACTCAACTTAATAAAATAAAAGCACAACACAGATTGATGCAACTTTAGTCTTGAGTTAATTTATAGATTTTTTGAAACACATTTTTCAAGTTAGAAATTATTGGTGAAATTATTTGAAAAGAGTAAACTGATTTTTTTTGCTCATTGTACCTAAAATACAAGTAAAAGTCCTGCACTCAAAATGTTACTTAAGTAAAAGTAGAGTATTATAATCAAAATATACTTTTAAGTACCAAGTACTTATTGTGCATTACTGTATTTTCAAAATATTGTATTAGAATTATTGATTATTTATTGTGTTCATCACTTCAATGTTGCACTTGGTAAACGTGTGGTTTATTTGAATTACTTTATGCACAACTGAAAGAAAAGCCCAATGTTCCACAGATGTAAAATCTGGTGTATTCCACGGTTGGTCAGGCCAACACGCTGGAGTTATCAAGGAAAGCCATTATGGCTGACATTCAAAATGACTTGGCCTGTTATTGTGCTCACAATCAGCAGCTGTCCTATTCACAAGAAGCTGACAATTGGCACATTCTATTTCCGCTAAAGGCAAAACATTTCATAATTAAAAATGAAATATTTCAACGGGCAACAATTGAACAGCTTCTCTGGTTTTCTCGTCCAGCCATGATCATGCTAATGAACATATGGAATGCCATTTTGTGCAGGAAATATCGTTCTGTGAGCATCTTTTTTTTTAATGGGGGTAAATAACTTTATGTAACTCACTCAACAGAGTTAGATGTGTCTGCCAAGAAATTATAAAATCCAACTGTTTCTATTTTGATTGTAATAAATATGAGAACGTTGTGGCCACCTGGAATACTTCATTGAAATAGTTATCAGCAGGTTGCAGTAATGAAACTGTATTTTTTATTATGTGGAGGTCCACTTCTAAACCGGCACATGACTAATGTAAATCCATTATTCCCTTTTTGCTCAGTTTTGGCCTCCGCCTCCTACAGTATGTGTGAGAAACATTTTGTTTTATTTGGCGGGGTGCATACAGTAGGTTTACACAATTTGATAAATACAGCTGCCTGCCTCATGACAGAGGTGAACTGTATGTCAAAATATGAAGTTATTTGTTAATATTTTACATTAAGTATCTATTTATGTAATGTATGTATATTGTTGATGATCTTTTGTATAGTTAGGAACTCTGCAGTTTCATGCAACCTATTGGCTGATTTAAATTCTAATCATTTATAAGCCAAAGTTACCAAACACATTCGGCCATGCAGATATATGTCGGACATCGAACGTAATAATGTATTTTAGTTCTTGCATCTCTTGTTTCAGTAACTACACTACCTGAACTACCAACATCACACACAGTAATGTATCCCAGGATGCTTTCTAAAATCTGTAATACATTTTAGGGTGACCTTGTTTTGGTTGTTTTCTTGTCAGTGAAACATTTAAGTGTTAGTGTTTGAAGTGATTCCGTAGGTCAGCTGTTGCTTGGGATTGATTTTGAACTGTGTGTGTGCTAGTAAGAAAATGTGCAACACACGTTTACTTCAAATGTTAACAATTCATTTTTGCTTTTGCAGCCGACAGCCAACCTGGAAGTGACACTAAGCTGTCTGTGGAGGATCTGTTCAGACCGGAGTTCCAGGTCCACGACCCGGAGGCCAAGTGGATCAATGGTGAGTGATGAACAACATCTACTGTGGTCTGCTGGAATCTGCAAGAAGGTTATCTTGTAATGCCTTCAGATGCAAATGAGCAGGGCACTGAAATCAGGATTATGTGCAACCATGTGCCTTCAACTGATTTACGAAAACATTCTTTACCAGCAACATAATTTAGGAGTACTGATAATTATAAGATGCAAGAAAATGATGTATATAGTTAATTCCTGCATATCTCATCTGACGGTTGGGTTTTGTCCTGGTATTTGTTCTTCAAGCATACTGAAGTAGCATGTCACATGGCATGGTTAAGCTATTTTTGAGAATTATTATTGGACCATAAATACTGATATTACTGATAGTGATATCCTAATATTTTTGTATCACTTTTTGTTTCTTCTGGCAAAGTATCATTTCCACTATTATAGATTTCTTAGTTTTGATTAATTGGAAAACTATATTATTTTAAGTAATCCCCTTTAGACACTTTTAAAAGACACTTTAATGATTTGTTTTTAACAGTACTACATGTTGCAGTCATCTTCTCAGATGTTGGTGATTGTAATTAATAATATAGTGTTTTACATCGAACAGAAGGGACAATAACTTCCTAGTATAGAAGTGTTTTCTTTTCCATTTGTGGCAAAGATGTTGCTTTTTTGTCTGCTTTGCTGCAGTCCGGCCAAAAACAGAGGACTTTTTTAACTCTTTATCAGATTTTGCAGCGCCTTACCTAGTGCACTGTGCTGATTGCAGTACTGCAGTATCTCATTGGCTAACACTGCAGCTACATGTCGACCAAGTCCAACTCTTGTTCGAAAATAGTGTTTTCCATGAAGTCATCGTATTAAAAATAGTAGAGAGCTCGAGGCGGAGGCAACAATTTGAAGTAGGCGGAGCCTCGTAATTCTCTATTCAGACAAAATTCTGGAAATAAATGAAAATGCAGAACTTGTCATTGGCCTTGAGGATATTTCTGGCTCTTTGAAGGCATTTGAATGTGTTTATAATGAGACTTCATTGTTTTTCTAATCACAGATAAAGCTGTCATCAGGCTTTATCGCCTGCCTGTGATGATGATGATACAATCAGCACACATGAGACATACTCACTATTACTGTGGATCATGCAGTAACATGAGTGACAGCCAACTGAATACACTACCTGCTGTACATATATTTATACAAAACACCTTGATTCATACCTGACATGAACGACATCTCGATGAGTTCTGAGTGCGCTTCGTGAGAGCAAACAACAGCCGAGTGTTGAGCGGGGGTTGGGGGGGGTGACATCTCTCTCTGTTACTCTGTGGAACAGCCTGCAGTCAGTTCAGTCTGCAACAAGCCCGCCGTGTTTCACCCCTTGCTTTACCTTGCATGCAATTATGCAAATTCCAATGTTGGGATTTATTTCCCCTCGCCTTATTTACATTGAATTGATTCCTCACTTGCCAGAAGGGGATCATATGTTAAGCCCGGAAGGCTTTGGCTGGAAATAAACCACATCAAGTGAAGTGCAAGGGATTCTGATTATGGTTTGCCAAGGCGGGGGGGGGAGATAACAATACCTCGGAGGGAGAGCGTGGACAGAGTTTTGTTGATGGCGTGATGCCCTCCGTCTGCCTCCTCCTGCAGATCTCTGTGTTTGGGTCTCCTCTCCTCTGACCATCCGCTGTGGCTCAGACTGGGTGCCCGCAGGCAAGAGGCAAGGCCTTTCTTTCCATCAATATTTCATTCCCGGTGACACTTTTCCACTATCTTCGCAACTCCATCTCATTCCCTGAGCTGACCTCAGGCCAGACAGAGAGCAGCGGTGTTGCTCGATGAGGCAGTCAGAGAGTCAGCTTTATAGGCCGCTTTGTGGATGGATGGGGCAAAATAGACCCAGGACATATGGGAGAAGATAACAGACGGACGGGCGGGGGCAGAGATTGATCGCTGGGATTTGTAGCAAACATGAGATTTATTTTTCCCAAATCAGAAGCTTTGGAGGTTTTGGCTCGAAAGTCATTTATCTCTGTCTCCGTTAGAGATAATCTGAATGGGTGTTTAATGTGATCTCATTAATAGTCAAGTGCGAGTATGATGCAGTGTCATGGAGCTTATTTCATTACTTTAGTTACACAGAAACATTTGAAAAATCACTACCATGAACAAATGATGATACTAATCTTGAGTATATTACAGGTTGTTTTTATTTTAGATCATTAAAATATTGACATTTAAAAATGATTTATTAACTGTATTTTCTTATTATCAAAACATACATTTATGATCATACAAATAATAATTAGCTTTAATCCAACCATCTACTGTGTTACTATCTCATGATCAGTTTTCCAAAAGAAAACGAGTAACAATATAATAAAAGTATACTGTATATAATAAGTTGTATAATTAATATCACTGGTAAATAAGAGTGGCTGCTTGGAAATGTTTGTTTTATGTTAAACTCAGACATGTGAGGTGTAATGTCAACATTGAAATAGGAAATGATCACATGTATTCAGCTCATTCAAATCTTCCTGCAGTGTCAATAAAAAGAACATTCTGCATTCACACCTGAGGCCTGTACTACGAAGCTGGTTCAACTTAACCTGGATATGTTGGAGTTAGCCGGTTGGCCTAAGCCAAAACATACGCGCTGGCGCTAAGCTGTACTACGACGCCGGTTATCAAGTGGATCGCTCAAGCCAGCCGTGTCCTATCTAGTTAGGTGCGCGTTCACATGAAAGGGGTGGTATTTGGAGCATTCGACCAATCTCAAACACGGACAAGCGTACTGACAGCGCAGCGTCATACTTCCTGAATGAAAAGTGAACTTTAATATTAGTCAAATATGAAGAAGTTAAACTTGAAACATCCATGACTTAAACACTTTATCCAGGATCAAAGCCACATAGCTGCACCTGCAAGGTGAATACAGCTGGTAAAAGAAAAAGTGTTTGAATGCGTACATTAACAGGTTTATGATATCACTGCCCCGTCCAAGACACGATCTGACTTTAATTACATTTGACTCAAGTGTTTCGTCAACTTAATGTGTTGCTTAAAATAATACTTCTGCATCCAGTATGTGACACTGTGAGTGTTGCATGGCCAGATACGGCTCAAGAAGCTGACTCAAATAAGGAAATATATGATACATTATGATGTGATATGATATGAATGATAATGGCACACATCGACGTCTGCACTCACAGTGCTGCGGACTGTACTTAATGTTACTCTGATCCGGTTACTTATGTCGTGGCAGATATTTAAGTAAGCTTTCTTAACGCTAATATTATAATAGTCAGATTGCTCTGAAGATGGGAGGGGATATTCTATTAATTTTCACGTTCACACAGTCAGTTGATTTTGGCCGGCCGTCTTTCCTGCAACGGCAGTTTTTCTGTATTTCCTCTATCCTGTAATATGACTTGATCGCTTTAAACTCCGCACACACGGAGCTCTGATTGGTCAGCAGGCGGTGCTTTCACTGAGTTGATCTCTTAGCCTGCAACCTAACCTGCTCCGGAGCAGGTTAGCCGCTCAGCATAAGTTACCATGGAAATCTAGCCTGCTAAAAAGAGAACCAGCGTCGTAGGACCGGAAAGCCCGAGATTTCCCTGAATTTAGCCGGCTAAGCGAAAATCCAGCTTCGTAGTACAGGCCTCTGATCTGTTGGAGCAAACTCTGGTATGTTCACTTTTTGGTGCTGTTTACACGAGAACGCAAACGGTTGTATCCGCTACTTTTCTCTTTCGTATAGCCCGTTCGTTCACACGAGGCCGTAACGGAAACGCGGAAACGGACCCCGCAAACGATAACGGGTCCCAAGGGGGATAGATCTGCAAACGGAACGCTCTGGGGGGCCAAACGGCTCAGTGTGTACGCCTCTATACCAGGGGTTTTCAAAGTGTGTGAAGGTGAGCCTCCCCTCAGAGAACATAAGAACAGCCGCGCCCCCCCTCCCAATTATTATTGCTATTATTATTATTATTGTTGTTGTTGCTATAATGCAGGGGTATTCAATTGCATTTCAAAGAGGTCCAGTAAGAGAACATGTCATTAAATGCTCTGTTTTCGCTGTCTACCTTTCTCTTTTTTGAGCACGCCATTTGAAATGACTCCGACTGTTTCTCTCTTCTTGTCTCATCTCTGTGTGTGTGTTTGAATCTATCGTGCTGAGTCCCAGTCTCCTCTGATGTTACACTGCAACCTGCCTGTGAGACAGAGTCCAACCACACACTCTGTCTGTCCAACACATGTCCTGCAATACACATGCTGCAGCTGCCCAGCTGCTCACTGTTTGTAAAAGTAAATAAATAGTATTTTCATTTAAATAATTTACTTTCTTTACCCTGCTTCATAAGTAATACTGACATCCCTGTGCTCCTCCGAGTCTGGGGGTCCGGGGATGTGAGGACAGCGCGAGGACACAGACAGGGAGGCTGCTTTACTTCATAAAGGAAATGGCGTCAATATTAACAACATAGGAGCTAAAACGCTTAATAACCTTCATTACTTGTTAGAGAAAGAACATAAGAAAGGTTGACAAAGATGAGGCTGTTAAACGGGCAGCGGAGCCGCTGTGTGTAGAAAGAGAGAGAGAGAGAGAGAGAGAGAGAGAGAGAGAGAGAGAGACGCTGAGCTGCACTGTGCAGCGATCAGCTGATACGGAGCATAGAGAGAGAGAGCTGCGGTCCGCGGGGCTCGGCCTCGCCTCCTGTCCTCACAACTCTTATTATTCCCGGGACCGGACAATTGTTATTTGTTCTTACTCGGAACCGAGTTGTGCTTCCCAACCCAGCCACTGTGCTACACGTCCCGCCCGCCCCGTCTAACAGTACAGAAAGCGGCGAGATGCATTTCCTTAGGAATCGACAAGCAGAACCGAAACTAACATTTATGGGCGAAAAACGTCACTTGTCTGTCGGACACGTCAATGGAAAGATGTATTTGTCCGATATTATAAATAACACTTTTGCTTTTTCGCACAAATGCCGGTCGCATAAAGTTAGCTGAAAT